GCATTCCCTCACTAGTAAACAAGAAAATATTTAGTGTATGTTGTAATTACAGTGAATGGTGAGGAGGCACTGAAGATGATACGTTTTCGGTACTGGCTAAAATACGCTCTCATTGAAAGTTGCACTTCCTCCGCTGGAAAACAAGGCTGGGGGATATTTTGGCCTTAAGCTCCTCTTGGCCCCAAGACCTACTATGCGATTTTAGCCTGGTCCTTGTGACAATTAAGCAATTCCTTGTGTTCCAGGTACTCGCTGCGATCACGATGCTTTCCAGGAGCATGTCCTCAGCTTTATTTTCCCTTCCTAAACATGAGGCTGAACGTGCTGTCAGTCAGCTCGTTGGCAGAGGCCGCTGCTGAGCTCGGAGCGGTGTTCTTCCTCCAGCTGTGCTCCATCCCGGTCAACATCTGGGCTGCTGTAGGACGTGGGTTGCTCACCTTCCCCACCACCAGCACATACGTGGTGGCACCAAGACGGTTCCTCGTGTGCTAGATCGGCTGCCCCTTGCTTTCTGAGATCGAGCAGCCGCTATTGCCATGCTGACTAATTGGTGGGGACAAGGGGACTGGAATGCTCTGGGAAATAGGAGTTTCCCTCTTGGAAATGTCACAGGAAGCATGGAGGAAATCATGTGGTTTAGGAGCGGTTACCTCACTTTTCTGTCTCATCCGAACCAGCGCCCTTTCATCAAAGTATACAGAACCTGAACAATGCGATGCCAGCTGGCTAATAAATAAACCATTTTCCATTTCCACACCGGGTATCGGGCTGACTTTTAATGCCATGTGAGGAGAAAGGAAGAGCGTCACGTTGTGTTGCCTTGTGACCTTTCAGATTGACTACCCGGCTTCCTACCCGCTTGCTTTCCCTTGGTCTGCTGTCGTAGTTAATAACTCTTCCACATGCTCTTTTTCGGAGCACAGCCCAGAAATGGTCATCTTTGTAGGTAGCCAGAGCTGTTACGTATATATAATAGATATTTTTTCATATTCTCCTTGTTCTGCCAAAACTGCTGAGGATTGCTAGCAAACAGATTGTGGTGAAACGCATCCAGAGTTGCGGTGCTGCCGCTTTTTCTTCTCCCTGCCAACCCTCCTGGTAAGATGGTACCGTGGGCCTGCGTTGGTATTTCAGGTGGGTGCATCCCCAGCAAGGAAAGAGCCTCAAACATCCCGTAGCTACTGTTGACTCCTTTGCTGATGGGCTCTAAAGGAAAACGCCCAGTATCGCTGGTTTTAATAGACAGCTCCATCTGCATGGATGGGATCACGCAAGAGTCCTTTTTAACGTTCCTGTGGCTGAATCATGGAACACAAATGTCTGAGTCACCGCAGATGAATGCGGTGTTTCACGTTGGTGTGAAGTGAAATGTGAACAACAGTGTCTTTATTAGAGGAGCTAATATTTGTGCTCATTATGGGTTTCATTAGATTTTAAAGTGAAACAATCTAGAAGAGTTCCTTTGACAATGTATATAAACAGACTATTAACATTTGAATGCCGGGTTTTTAGTGGGATGCTGGTCTGGATGGAGAGGAAATGGAACTTCAGAGGAAAGTGATGTACCCCCCTTCTTGGGCGTTTATTGCCCGTAACTGGTCATCTTGTTTTGTTTCAACCATCTGACTTCTCTTGAACTCCTGTAAAATTTTCACGTAATTTTGTTTCAACCATCTGACTTCTCTTGAAATCCTGTAAAATTTTCACCTGGGATTTCTTGGTTACTACATTTTTAGAAGAAAATATTGAAGGGGCTATCAGCCGTATCCCTTCTTGCTTTCCTGTAGAAAGCTCTTTGCTATTCTGAGCTCTTCCTTCTCATAAAGGTCACTTGTCCTCGAGGAGTAAAGGCTTTACTCTGGTTTCTTCTGGTTGCTGCTATGTCAGATGGCCCTTCTGCATTATTATGGGAATTTTGGACATTTGTTCCTTGTCCTTGCTTGAAATGTGGATTTTCCTTTGTCCTAGATGTGCAGTTGGATGCGGGCTGAGGTTTTGTCTCCTTACTGCTGTTGGTAGAGCTGAAGCAACCTTACGAGACGGGGTGCTAAACCCCAAGCGTCGGTGCTCTGTGCTCTTCATGTGCTGTTGGCAGGGAACTTGGGCAGGTTGCTTTGTCCCATATTTTTCCCCAGCTGTGAGACAAAGCACTGTGGACGCAAAGGGTTACTTAAGAGCACAGTAAGTACGGCTGCTCTTAACGCTCTGTCCTTGGGCTAGAGTTGAGACAGGAACGTTTTTTTGCGTTGTGTCTGCTGGTGCAGAATTTGCACCTTTCTGTCCAGAGCTGGAAGTGAAGGATGGACTGGCAGGTTTTTCTGGCCGGGAGTCCACCTTGAAAACAATGATGTTGGTGTTACTTTTGGTTTGGATTTCTGCTGTTCTCTGCATCTTGTCCATCCCTCTTCTGGTGGGGTTTTTGTTCTTTCTACCCCGAAGAGGAGAGAGTTGCGGCTGATACTCCTAAAGGATGTTTGAAGTCCGAACCCAGTTGCAGTTTGAAGTGCAGATTTGTATCTCTTTGCTCCTTGAGCACCACAGTCCTGCGTTTTGGAAGCAAATATTAATGCTTCTGCTACAAACTTTATTACAAGTGCCTTTGCCAAATAGTCTTGTTATTCTCCTTGTGATGGTTCGTAAGGCCTGATCAACGATACAGAAATGTGAAAGTGCTTTATTGCATGATTGTCTTTTCACAGCCTGGTGAGTTACTGTGCGGCACCACAGCCTGAGTAACTGTCGTGCGTGCTCTTGGACTGCAGCCACTCTGAATTTAAATGCATTAGTTTAAATCGCTTTCATTGAAATTTAAGCTAATGTTTCATGTTTTACTAATGTAGAAATAAGGGGTCAGGCATATGATTGTGCTGCTGTGCTTTAACAACCTACCATGTGTCATCTGTTCTGCAGCAGAGCTTTATGCACTCTTAATTCACAGCAAATGCAATATAAAATGCAATGGCTTTAATCTCCTTGGAAGTCAGGCAAGTCTAGATGCGGTGTTTAGGATTCTGTAGCGTTCCCAGATGCAGGGATATTTTTTTCCAGACCTCCTTCCAAGCTGGACAGCTGATTTACAGACTTGAAGTCTTCCAGCCTCTATCTCCGAACTTTGTGGGTCTCTGCCAGATGGCAGTGTATTTAAATGGCTTTAAAATGGCTTTTTCTTTTGTTTCAAAGCAAAGAGTCTTAAATGAGGTGGAGCGTGCCTGTGAATCAGTATGTTAATTGCCCACAATGAAAATCAAAAGTACTTGGAAGACTGACTGCTGTGGCTGACCAGACAGAAACGCAGGCTCCTCTTCCGAGCACAGAGGTGTCTGGTGGTGGGAGGCTGAGAAGAGCAACGCTTTCAGGAACGTCCCTATGTTCTGCGCGAGGGAGGAGAGTGCTATTTGCTCCTCCGCCTCCACATGTCTGCTGATCCCTTGCTCCTCCACCTGCTCCTGCCGCCGTGCTCTTGCTGTCCACGGGGATGGTGGTCATCTGCTCAGCAGGCAGGGGTTAAGGACGAGCCGGGTGCTGGTGCAGGTGGAGAGGTGTCCTGCTTCCTCCCGTGTTTTTACGGCTGTGCTTCGGAAGAGAGGAATGGATTTGCAAGTTGTCCCATGGCGTGTCTAGTATGTTAGTGGAGGAACCAAGAGCAACGTCTTCCAGGTGTGTTGGTGGCTTAGGTGGAGTTATATTAGATTTCAAAACTACCCCCTTCCCTTTTCTGGGATGTGCTGGCTGCAAAACTGCCTCCCACTGCGACATGCGGTTGTGAAGGGCGATCTCTGCCGCTCTGAAGCGGGCGTTTGCTTTGCGTGTCTGTTCTGACTAATGTGCAGCATTGATTGTTCCCAGCTGCGCCAGCCCAAATTGACAATCTTGGATTTTGTTGTTTCCCAGAATAGATGATTTTTACTACTGGGACTGCTGTAGTAGTGAGCTTGTCCTGAACTCTTCCTGGCTGCCTGAGTAATATTCAGTGATACTGAAGTACTGCGGCTGCTGGCCTGACAAGGACAGGGACCTTGAGGGCCGTGGCAAATCTTGGTGTGTTTAAAACTGCTTTTTCCTACAGCCCTTCCTACCGCGGAGAGAGCAAACCTGGATGTGTCAGATGGGTTCAAGCTCCTGATTAGTCGCTGGTGTGATGCTGCAGCAAATTCCCGTATGTTTTTGAAAATTGTTTTTCCTTTTCCCCGGAGTTAAGATTAAGCTTCTGGATGTTAAAGGTTTTCCCACTCCTCTGTGGTATGGTGCACAGGGGTTGGAAATGATCTGTGGGTTCACTGAAGTCCGAACACAAATTTTGATGAAAAATTAAAGAATCCAAGTGGACATATTTAAACTCTGGAGATCTTTGTTGTTATAGTGCAAATGTTGAGGGGGATATTTGTTACCTTAACCATCGAGATGTGACACACGAATAAAAAATAAACTCTTCCTTGTTAAATTTAAATTTTCCTTTGTTAAATTTAAATTAAAAGAGAAGACACGCTTCCTGCTCCTACCTTCTTCCTGGTAACTTTGGTGGAGAGGGGAATTGCTATGGAATTGTATTTTTATTATACGCCTGGCTAGATGCATATCAGCTCAGGCACTCTTTTTGAAATTCCCTTTACTGTCAGGATAGTGCAGCTCCTACAACAGTTAGAGTACCGTGCTTTCTCATTCATCGCTGCCTTGGTTTGTATTTCGCAGGCTCAGGTACTCCATTACCTCTTTGATCTCGTTTGGGAGGTGAAACCACTCCATGCATTGGCGTGCGTGGTTTCTCCAAGCCCTTCCTTGAGCAAAACACCCTGGTCTCCCTCTCTCCCCGCTCCCAGCTTCTCTCTCTTCTCCCTAAACTTGATGCGAGGAAGGAGCGAGGGGTGTTGATGATTTGGATTATGCAGCTAAGTGGCTGGAGCGTGGCTGGCTGTCTCCTCCCCTTCCTGAGCTTCGGCCCTAGCCAGCTCGGCGCTGGAATGACAGGCATTCCTGCGTGAAGGGAGCTGGCACGGACGCCTATTTATGAGAATCAAGTGCTCTGCCATGGGGTACGGGGAGAACAGGACCTGCGCTGGACCGTCGGACGCCCGTGCCGTTGCCTGAGAGTTGGCAGCCGCCTCGCTTGCCGGGCTCTTTCCCAGTCCAAAGTGTGGATTTATCATTTTAAAGGACTAAAGTGCTCTCTCAGGGAAGACTTTTTTTTTTCCTCTCTCCCCCTCCCGCCTCCTCCCGGCGAGCTGCTTAGAAAAGAATCTAATGGGGCAGCCGCACTTCTCGAGACCGGTAAATCCAGCTGCTTTTGGTGAGTAATGGAGGGCAAGGGAGACGGAGGAAACTTTGGGGCTGCGGCAGGGCAGGACTGCAGGTGAAACGGAGGAGTCGAGGGGAGTGGAATGCGGGGCTTGTGTAACCTGTGCCCGGCTTGGGACCTGGGAAGAGAAACCAGAGAAATAACTCCATTTCCTTCCTTTCTCTTACTCATGTCACATGCAATCGCTGTGCAACGTGTTCTGCTGATCTTCGGACAGGCTCCATGCTGCAGTTTTTAGGGATAGCCTCTGTCTTGCACAGCCAGGTTCAGGGACAGTAGCTTTGCAAAGCGCTTGGGCAGCACTAAAATTCACCTGAGTCGGGTAGGAGCCAGCCCCGAGCCCCCCCGATAGTCTGCCCGGATCAAAGCTGCCCAGAATTGCCTCCTTGTGTGTGATGACACCCGGCTTTTTGGGGCAGCTGAAGTAGTTTTGGGGGGAGAAGGGGCTTGGCAGTCATCTTCCTGCTTGTTTTCTCTCTACTCCGCGAGGTGTCTGAGTAACTGGCAGGCTGTAGCAAACGCAACCTTGCTTTGAGTCCTGGAAGTAGCCCTACTTCCAGAACGCTGTGTGTAGGTCAGTGTTATTTCCAGGTCTCTGTCTTAGGTGCTGTTCCCAGCTCTGGGACTGCGATGCACTGACTATAAGAGGAGACTTTACGCATCGTGCCGTTCCCTTTTATCTCATACCGACTTGCTGTCAGCTGTGTGGGCAGAGTTGCTTACTCTCATCTGTAAAGTGAAATTACCTGATTTTTAGAGAAACACTTGACGTTTGCGCGTGGAGAGCTCCCTGAGATACAGATTAATTTTTTTTTCGTTCTTTTTCACTCTTACAACTTTGAACCTACCAAGCATTTTTAGGGCTCAGATTAAACCAGTGATTCTCTCTTCCCCACCCCCAGTTCAATCCAGCTAGCATTGTTCAAGAGCTGCTAAAAAATAAGTGGTATTGAGAGAGTGGAAGGGAGAAGTAAAAGTTCAGTTGTCTTCGTACTGTCGATGGAGATTAACAGCTCCATTGGATTTACGCGCTGTTAGAAGCCGACCTGTTCAGTCCTGGGCTCTTTCTCTCATCAAGCACCAGAGACGGTGGTAATTTTCAGGGGAGTGGGCTCACTTGGTGTAATGACATTGTCCTTTGCCGGAGGCTGGAGGCCAGCAGACCTGGTGTTTCCGCAAATGGTCATTTGCTATCTGAAGTCTTTTTTCATGGCACAGCTTGCATAGTTCCTACTGAATAAATTGTGAACTTGAAGAGATGGTTCGTGCATTAACTTTGGCAGGATGCTGTTGAAAAGAAAAGTCTTGTGAAGATTATGGTGATTAGAAGCGTACAAAAGACAGGGAAGCCAAGGGCCGGGACTATTTGAGGCTGTTTTGTGAGCACAGTCTTTTATTGCTTTAAGGTCAGGATTCACGTCTTCCCTGGACCATTCAGGAAATGCACATGAAGTTTTTAAAGCTGTTACAGGAAGCTAGAAACATTTACCTAAAGTGCTTTTTTTTGATACTTTAACCTTAACAGCATTTCCCTCAAAAGAGTCTTTGTTTGCTTTTTGAGTTGTAGCTGTTTGCTTGAAAGCTTTTTGGATTCTTAACTGCTCTGCCCGGCACAACAAAGCTGAAGACGAGGGAGCTGAATTATTCTCCAGCCTGTGCATCAACACTGTTTTGGCAACGGGAGGGTTTGTTGCGGTCCCACGGCGTTAGCCAGTGAGGATCCCGCGCAGGCTCGGTGTCGCGAGGCAGTTGGTCCCGCTGTAGCCTTAGGTCCGGGCTGTACCGCAAAACACGCTTCTGAAGGTACGGTGATGTTGGGTGTGGAATGAGCAGCCACATTCTCAGCAAAAGTTCCTGATGCACCTTTTGGGCTTGTGACAGCAGAATTTCACGTGCATGTGTAACTTAGGGAAGTAGAGGTGATTAAGCAAAAGAGTTCAGAGTTGCTGCGTGGCATTGAAGCGCCTAATTTGTCTGAGTGCTCTTTAGCTCTCAGCTAAGCGTTTACACTGTCTTTTGCTGTAGCATAGTCTCACTGCTGCAGTTCCGTCTGTCTGTGAGCCTTGAGGCTATGACTGAGAGACAGAAATGCCTGGTGAGCTCCTTGTGAACAGAAACTCCTGGGATTTGTGGAAATCCCGTAGTAACTACTACGATAAGAGATGGATCAGGTTCTGGGTGAACTGTGGTTTGCAGATGGAAAGAATCTGGCTCAAGCTCATGATTTACACACTATGCAAGTCCTGTTACAAAGCAAAACACTGATGCTTTCTTGTTTCCTTTGCAAGGATGTCTCTTAATGAATATAGAATTTAACAGATCTTAACATCTCTGAAAAGGACTGGGTTAAAGAGCCTGTTGTAGTGTAGGCAGTGGTGAGATGCATCTTCTTTTGGAGCTAAAATCTGCTCTACCAACTCTTGGATGTCTGCAGAGATATTTCAGGGAGAAAAGCAGCATGTTCTCAGTCTTTTCCTAACAGCTTCAGTCTGCAGCCCTGTCCTGGGACTCACTGACCCTTCATCCTTAAAGGATTGTGCCATTTTCTTCATGAACACTGGAAATCAGTAGTTTCCCTCCCAGACGTATAGCAATATAATATGAATTGTCAGCATCTGGGATGCAAGTCTTTGATTTATTCACAGCCTTCGGTCTTGCTTTGTTAGGGTCTGTAACTTGGATCTTAAAGTGATTTTTAGCTTATGTAATGGTGTGCCCGTTAAAAACAAAATAAACTTCTCCATAGCCATGCTGGCTTTTGGTGGTATGTGGCCTGACTTAAAATGGTTTAAAAATTCACCAGGACTAATTCAGCAATGACCGACACTAGACACAGCTTGGGTTTAATTTTTTTTTTAATAATGTGCATCAGAGGTGCTGCTATCTCGTGTACTGTTGCAGGTATCTTCCCTATGAGAGATGGTCCTTAACGAAGGAAAGGCTTTTTGTTTATTCATGTTGGTACCTGAAGTCTCTACTGTGCCTTTTGCTAGGCTGGTAGCGCATTGAAAGGATGTTCTGGGGCTTGATCTCTGAAGATGGGGGGTTAACTATATTTGCTCATGCAATGGCTTTTCGTCCCCTAGACCACGGTGTGACCATAAACCATTACATTTATATGTTGGTATTTCCTAAAGGTCAGCTAGGTAGCTGCTTGCTGTTGTGAGTGTCCCACGTGCATGGCAGTGGTGTGAACGCGTGCGGTATTTTTAATTGACCCCACGGATCCTGGCTCCGCTGGTTTGACCCATTGAGAGTAGTGGTAGAAGTGAAAGCTTTACCATCTTTAATAGCAATGGCTGCCCCAAGCCTGACAAAAGCTTTGGGAGCAGATGACACATGCAGCACCGCAGCCGCTTGCTGACGGCGTGATGAGCTTGGAGACCAACTGCGAGTCTCCAGCTTCTTCCACTGAAATGGTTTCTCTTCTCTGGAAAAAAAACATTACAGCTGTAGCTCAACACCACCCATGTTCTTGCCACAACAGTTTGCACCTAACACAAGGTGCAGCGGGAGAAGAGCTTTTTTTCCGCCTGCATTTTAACGGCAAGACTTGAGTGTGAATGTGTGTAGCAGTCTGCAGGGGGAGGGTTTGAAAGACCAGCTGGCCAGGCGTACTGATGGAGAATTGCATCCCTAGCTGCTTGGCACTGCTGGAGCTTTCTGCCTTCTTGTGTCTCCAGGCTGTGCCAATTTTGTGACATTTCCCTAGACTATTTCAGTCTAAACATTTTGGGTTAACACAAATCTGCTGTTTAAACAGCTCAAATTCACCTGCTTGTTTTGCTGGAACATGATCAGGGCATGTTAAGTGTTTCAGAGAGGAGATCTGAAATGGCAGCAGGCTCTGGTGGGGAAGCTGGGAGATAGCAGCCAGGGCATGACTCCCTCCCCAGGCGGGCTGGGTCCTGGGGGTCTGTCCGAGGCATGGCAGGTTGAGTGCTCCAGGACATCTCCCCGAGGAGCAGCACCCACGCTTGCCTGGGGCAGCGTGCAGAAGTTGCAGTAGGTGTTTTAGTCCGGAGGTTTTTTCTCAACTGGGGCCGTGTTGCGGGGCGGTGCGTTAGGCATGGCGTGCTGGTGTCAGGGTGGGCTCTGTGGGGCTCTCCCTACTTCAGGGTCGCTTTTCTGAAGTGGGTACTTCATGTAGCTCTTGCAGAAAGGTTAAACAAGGCCGTGCTTTGGCATGGGGGCACATTAGGGACCTGCTTATTGGAAAGCTCTTGACCTTCTAATGAGGACTCCCCTGGGTTCACCTGCGTGACCTCATTTACCCTTTTTCATACATTTTAAATGGGTTTTCCAGCCTGGGACCGCAGTGAAGAAGGTGAGGCTGGTCTCTTGGACACAGACTTGCCACGCAGGTAAACAGCCGTGGTGCTGAGCAAGGGCCGGGTTGGGCGAGGGCATCAGCTTCCTGATGCTTCTCACCCTTCACTTAAAGTCCCGTTCGTCTTTTTTTGCCCCGTTTCTTTCCCCGAGCACTGCGCTGTGGTTCCTTAGCAGTTTCCCAGTGCGTGACTCGGATAAGGAGGGGTTTCTGCCTTGCATTGCAACGTGGCTTAGGGACCCTCCTGTACCTTGTAGAGCAGATCAAGAGGAGGCACAGAGAATCCACCTTGCCGAGGCTCCCTTCACAGTGAAGGCAGCTCGGGCAAGAAATGTCCTCTCTGCACCGTTTCATGGAAATTTGAGCTGGAAATGGGCTGTGAATGGAAAGGAAGGTCCTTTTCTGAGGGAGTATGAGCACTATCTAATGTGAACAATCACGGAACAATGAAGTTATTTAAAATAGAGATCGGTAAAACACACCTACAGCTGCTGATCCACCCACTAATTAGCAGTAAATGTAATTCATAATTGCATCACAACAGACTGTTTTAAATGTCTATGTCGGTGTGGTAATTATGGATGGTAAAAGGAAGAGTGCTGCGGAAGGGCATTACAAGTAGCTCTCCTGTGAGCAGCCTGTGCTGCAGAACTGGACAGAATGAATCCCATTTTGTATCCGGGAGGGAAACTGCTTTCATGGCATCGGTATCACCCCGTGGGCTGTAGTGGGCTCGGGATGTTCACACCGTTTAGTAACGTGTATAGAGTTTTATTCTACACAGAGCAAAAGGGATGGTGAAAATGATTTGGACTGTGGGTTTATGCTATGAAGGGGTACACGGTATGCCTGTCTCCCCCTCTTGCATGGCTGTTTTTAGACACGGAACTGATTATAAAACAGCAAAACGGAGTGTTTTCGTGTTGGATGAGACCTGATGCGCAGCACGAGCCTACAAGCAGTTGACAGCGTGGCTGATGGAGTAGCGTGGCAGAGAAGCAAGAACCGAGTTATTCGATATCGATGCTGAATGTCATTGTGAAACCTAGCTTTTGTATTAACCTGTGTGATTGCAACTAATGGCAGTCAGGCACCTGGGGTGGGACTCCACCCTGAGATGGTATTTTATTTGACAGCCAGACCTGGACTGCAGAAGCTGCTGAAAGAGGTTCTTCCGCCTGGAGTAAAACTCGCGTGTGGGCTCTCCCCCACTCTCCCTGCTTTTAGCTGCTCCTGCTTTGGGTATATCGTGTGTCTCCTTGCAGTTTCGGCTCATCCTTTCATGTCCACTGTTCCTCCCTAGCTGCTCGGAGGTGGCTGTGGCGGGGGAATGCTTGTGTTGCTCTCCCTCTAATTGGAAATGGAGACATCACAGCTTGCTGAGGTCTCCGTTCATTAATCTGTGGACCTGATGGTTGAGTTTTCTTTTAATAACTTACTTTGCTTAGTGCAGCACTCTGACACCTTGGGTGGCAGACAGCACATAAGTTACATTCCTAAGAGCAATTCAGGGAAGGGATATATATGAAGCGAGCTTGGTACGACTGCCTTCAGTGCTGTTACTGCTCCTTGGAAAGGTGAGGGAAATGCCTTTGCGTGGCACTTGGGATCCAAATTCAGTCCGCAGCTTGTGCCTGGCAAGCGGTCTTGCCTGCCTGGTAAACTTTGGGAACGCTCTGTTGAACAAAGTGAATACTGCTTTTTAAAATTACATGTACAACTCCAGGGCTAATGTTCTAGTCTCTGAAGAAAGTGCCTCTAAACATCCAGACAATTCCTCTTGGGTTTCTGGGAGCTTCAAATGCCGCTTTTTTTTGCCCCCACTTCCACCCTCCCTCCCTCCCAGTAGAAAATCACAGGTCGGTGCTGACATCTTGTATGTTACTTTCCACCCAACTTCTCTCCTGTTATGAAGCCAGATTTTTTTTTTTTAAGAAGCGGCTCCGATGTGGAATTTATCTTGCTCTTTCAAATAAATGTTGGCTGGCATCAGCTTTTCACTGGTTCTGAGTGAGCTTTCTGTTAGGGGGCTGATTTAAAAACAAACAAACAAAAAAAATACAACCAACAACCAAACAGCAAAACCCCATCAACCACCACTGTGTGGAATCTGGAGTCCCACGAATGAGAGGGGAGAAACCTGTACAGAGCTGGAAGGGTCATGCATTTCAGGTAAAGTCCGAAATGGCCATAATCAGCTTTGAAAAGCCTTTTTTTTTTCCTCTTCTGCTGGTTAGCACAGTGGCACTTCCTTGATGCTCCAGCCTCTCAGTAAACTGGAGTCCTGGGCTGGTTTCCCTCTTCCTCCGTCATTTGATTAAAGACTGCACTTCTTGCCTGTGATCTAGATCCTCCTACTTGAAATACTCTCCGGTTTCCCTTGTGCTGCCAGCATGGTCTCTGTTGCTCTTCTCTTCCCTATTATTCAGTGATCTTCCATTTCATTTGTGCTCAGACTGAAAAATTGGGGGTCTGTCTGTCCTGCAGTGTTGCACAGTGACAGCCTGTGCCCAGTCCAGCCGGCCTGAGGCTGCTCGGGAGCCCGTGGCTGGGGCTCCCCGTGCTTGACGCTTCCTGGGGTCTGAAATCTCATGCTAGGAAGCACTTCAGGGTTGCAGGTAGAGCTCCATCAAACAACTCTTTTATTTCCTGTTTGTTTTTTTTCCCCTGTCCTGAATCTGCTCTTCCCCATGTTGACAGGAATCTGCTTTTTCACATCTGGGTCTGTATCCTTGGTGAATATTTGTAGGATATAGCAGATACGTTGTGAGCTCTTTGTCCTATGTGCAAAATGGCTTTCCCCTAAAATTCCTCTTAGCCTCAGGAGATGGGATTCTTGGCTGAACTTTCCACATGGCCTGCAGGGTATTGTCTTTTCTGCAGGCACGTCATACAGGCTTGTCTGAAGTTGACTAAAAGGTCTTTTGTGATCCCAGAAGGTTTGCAAACTCCAGAACATTTGACTTAGAGGCTCAAAAATAAGACGCACAAGTGCAATTTGTAACACAGCACCTCAGCCTGTGGTATGCGGTGTTTGGCAGGACTGCATCGTAGGGCTCTAGGTGAAGTCTCGAGGCTCTGTTCTCGATATTGCGTGTTTTCACGGAGTTCTGCGACGCAGCTTGGGTGCTCCTGTCTTTTGCAGTGCTGAAGCTAAGGGATTATCGGTCTGTAAATGAAGACCATGAAACGGGCCACCAGCTGGCTTCACTTAGGTTGTGTGCACTCTGATTTTTATTTTTTTGCAGGCATTGCTAGATTCTGCTGATTGTAAGTGTTCCCTTATGTTTCATCAAATACCCGGAAAACACCAACACCAGGCAAGCCAGAATTGACAGTCACCAGCTTAGCGTTTCGTGCTCTGGTTCTGCTTCGCAAGTTGTTCCTTTATGAGCTTTTTTTGTTGCAGCAAGTTGGGGGTTTTTTTGCATGTCCCTTCCCTCCTCCATGTCCTTCTTGTGCTGTTCTCCAGAGACTTCGAGTACAGTAGGTGGAGCGCAGGCCTGTATTGTGTTGCTTTCCTGTGTAGTTGTTGCTCTTGGCCGGTGTTGCTGGCCTTATTTATAGAGGGAAAAATCAGAGAGGCTAAGTTCTAGCACATACAGCTGTGGTAATGGGTCTGGTAATTTCAGTGTGTGTAGACATGAAACTCGGCTCTGCAGTCTGGAAGGTATTTGCGTTCATGTAATTACTTGTGTCTAGCACCAGTTGCTTCCAACTGAAGATGAGAAACTGCAGCAAAGTGATTTGGGTTCCTTGGGCGAAGCTGTGACACTGCAAATTTAAACTAATCCTTGTTTCATTAGGAAGCCTCTTATCAGTTACCCTTTGCACTGTTAACATTGGAAACCCCACTCTTGCCTCCCCAAGCTAATGTGAAATGCTGACGGGTTACCTGAAGGCATGGAGTCTTGCTACCTTCTTTGCATGAATGTGCGCCACCGTTTCCCAGTGTGTTTCCCAGTGTGCAAGGGGCAGGCTGGTGGGAGATGGCAGCTGTTATCTGCAGCACAAAGGTAACTTCTTTATTCTTTTCTGTGCAGCCGAGGAGGTGGATCACCCCCCAACTGATGCCGGCATGGGGGTAGATGTTCTGGAATCGGGTGACACCACACCTCCTACAAAGAGGAAAAGCAAGTTCTCAAGCTTTGGCAAGATCTTCAAACCCTGGAAGTGGAGGAAAAAGAAGAGCAGTGACAAATTTAAGGAGACATCGGAAGGTAGAGTAATCGGGGTGGGTGGGAGTCCCTTCCTCCGCTTGGGAAACCTGCCATTAGCCATCTGGCTAGTGAGAAGGGCTTGTTGTCACAAGCCTGAGTGCTGACACACACACAAGAACCAAAATGTGACTTTGGTGTCGGGCTGGCACCTGCAATCTCTCCAGAAACACCTTGCCATGGAGCAGTAGTTTCAGACAAACAAATTCCTTTCTTGCAAGGAACCTCCCCAAGCAGCTGTGAGGAGGAGGGAGGGTTTGCTCCACGATCACCAATCTAGTGTGAAGTGCAGGCCTGAACGTGCAGTCCCTCCTCCCTCCTCTTAATCCATGCAAAACCAGTGAAATTTGAAGCCCTTTTATTTCCTTTCCAGAGGATCCCTTTAAAAAAGTATCTTCTTGAACTTCTAGCTTACCCTGTTTTCTGAGTGCTTTTTTTCCAATTTAATATCAGTTTTAGAACGAAAGATTTCTATGCGAAAGCCAAGAGAGGAGCTGGTAAAAAGAGGGGTTCTGTTGGAAGACCCTGAGCAGGGTGAGTCTGCAAATGAACTTCTCCTCCTGTCTTGTGTTCTGTGTAGCTGATCTTCCTCTGGCAAAACCTCACCCTTGCAGCCATTTTTTCTTGGGAGACAAATTTAAGGGCTCTTTGCTAATGTGGTTCCCGTCTGTCTTGCCCTTTTCAATATGCTCTCTCGTCTGACTTTTGCACCTGGCAAGGAAGGCAGCCTGTTCAGTTAGGAAGATATTACTAAGAAAGCGTGATGCCTGTCTTGGGCATCTTCCTGTCTGCTGCCAGCGGGGAGGGAAGGGGTGTTCTGTGTGTCACTTCCTATCCTGTCCCTCCCGTACGTGTCCCGCTCCAGCTGCCTTGTCTTGTCCTGCTAAGCTTCCCCATCACACTTGCTCTCACCATCTCCGGCTTGTTCTGATCACGCTCCAGACTGCACTCTAACCACTGCGGGAGAGCCGCTGACCTCGGAGCTCAGGTTCGAAGGCCTTAAGCTTGGAAAAAGAAACCAATTGATGACTTTTGAGCTGCCTGGGTAGGGGCATTTCCTCAAAGAGTTATAGACGAGACGCTTCATGGTATGGTGTGACAGTTAGTCACGGCTAAGCTTATTGAAGCTTGCCCTGCTGTCAAAGAAGTCTTATCCCCTTTTCTGTCATCCCTGATGTCTCTTGAATTGGGGCCATCCTGCTAAAATAACTTTTCAGGCAGATCAGTTCACCATCTAGTCACCTGGCTGCGTGCTGGGTGATGCGGGTACAAGGGGAGGGGGGCAGGAACATGTGGTGGGAGAGCAACCCACCTGCCTGGGCGGCAGTGTGGTCTTTGGCTTAGAGCGATGTGTAATCGTACCTCGAAAGGCATACTGCAGAGGCAGCCTTAACCTAATGCAAATTTCAGGGGTCTTCTAAGAAAGATGCAAAGTGGAAAAGCAGAGGTGAAAAAGTGGTTTTCAGACCAAACTGCTGAAAGCAGAACTGAGAGGAAAAGTCTTAACATGGTTGTTTGCAGCTACACTGTAATGAAAGCCATCTACAACTACCTGAGGGTGTAAATGCTGGGCTGGAGGAAGAGTTCACTGGGGTACAAAAGTGTATGAGGTCACAGGATGAAACTGTGGAAGAGAGATCAAAGGCTTTGGGTAACAAACTTCCAACTAGAGATGACAGAGGAGGATCTTCCAAACTGTAATATGGGTGTAACAGAAGCGTGGCTAAGAGATGGAATTATTTTCTGCTTTGAGTCATCTGATCTGACTTAAGAAACAGAAGATGGCTATAATCTGGACAAAGTGCAAACCCAAGGTATGAGGGAGAGCAGTCAGTATTGTCAGGAGGGTTAGATTAGAAAGCGCATTATCTTAATCCCTTCTATGAGTTTAAGACACTTGGGCAGTCATAAGACGGCGGTGGTAGGTTATTGTATTTGCTTGCAATTTTAAAACCTGCTCTTATAAGGTCAGTTAATTTTCTTAGGCAAGTTCTTAGGGGAGAAAGTGCTGGAAACCCTTTGACACGAGTGAGCGAGGAGGTAGGGAAGAGGTATAGTGGAGGCTTTCAAACCCGGTGCGGCTGGGAGAGGAGGCCCTGCTGCTCTCTGGGCTGGCGGTCAGCAGGTTGTGCTGGGCTCACAGTTGGACTGTCTTGACCTTGAAGGAGGTCACTGGAACTGAAGTCAGCCCTCTCACACCACCTCACTCCTATCAGGAGCGTTCCGCACATGCTACAGCTCCCTGACAGAGAAGGGCACGCAAGGTTTGAATGGAAAGGAAAGCTAGATCATACCGTTCCCGTCTCCCTTGCTGAAAACTTCGGCTAGCCAGAGGCAATTGCTGCTGTAAAAAGCTCCGGCTCATCTCTTGAGTTTCAGCCCTGGCTGGGGAGGAAAATCCCTCTTGTTGCTGTCTGTACTTCCTGCGTTTCAGGGAAGGGCAGCTAAGCAAGTGAAGCAGCGCGGTCTTCCACCTCCTCTTAGGAACCAAGGCGATTTTTTGCAGAAAAGAAAGCCCGGGGAGCTTTTGGCTTCTTGGCATCTTTGCTTTCAGCTTCTGAATAACACCAGGTTAGGGAAGGAGAGATAATACCTTGGGGGGTAGAGGAGAGGTGAAGAGGACGGTGGAATAAATCATCAAAAATCAGAGCAACAGAGCATGCTGGGGTCTGACACCGGGGGGGCCCATGATGCCATACGCTGCAATTGTTTGAGAGATGGTAGCCTGAAAATGCTAAGGATTTTTCATCAAATTGGTGATGTATCTATTCAAGTTTTCTTGAGTTGGAAAGCAGTCAAAATGGGCAGTGCCCCATTAGAGCAGATGCTAAGTCTGATTTTTGGGAATAATATTACGAAGAGTTTGTCCCGTCAGGGCAATTACAGAGGCAGAGAATGGTTTAGTATTTCCTCATTGTGACTAGGGCTTTAAGTGCTCTCAAAAGCATGGGCTGAAAAAAGGATGGTTTTCTTTCCAAAAGAGGTCTTGCTTCTAACATTTGGGAAACTCCCTCTGTAAAAGCAGAAGTAGTCAAGATGAACTACATCAGATTCCGGAGATGGATCATTACATCTGATTAAAACAAAGGTAAAAAAGCGAGGAAGTGTGCTTTGCTGTGGGATGTTTTGGGCAGGGCAGTGATTTTTGTGCCGAATTCAGGGTAGAAACAGAAGGAAAATAGAGGTGCTTCAACTGATTCTAAGATTTTATCAAAATCTATTATTGCATGTCCAGTAGATTACTTGGCTAGTGTTGGATTTTGTAGTGCAGCAGAGAATTTGTGACTGCTCTGTAATGGCGGGTAGATACAGAAGCTGCTGGAGGTTTTTAACTGCGGTTGCAACTTCCTTGGGCTGTAGCACAGCATTGGGCATACTAGTCTTAAATGCGGTAGCATTCTTTCTAAACAAGGTGGTAGATAAAGAGGCTGCTGAAGAAGAAAAACACTTGATGGGATACAGTGCTGTACTGCTTTGCTTGCTGATAATGAAATCAAGGGCTCTCAGCTTCAGCTAGTTGGTGTTGCTGTGCTCTCCTCTGCAGAAGGTAGACTGAAGGCTGTTTCAGAAGCCAGAGAGAAGTTGGTGCGGATCGATGGCAGTTCAGTAAGCCACGTCTCCTCCGTCTCGTGCTTTCTGAGTGTTTTCTGTTTGCTTCTCTCCCCTCCCGTCCCTTTGCAGATGGTGAAGAACCAGACAAGCTGAACCCACCTGCACTGAAGAATGGCCACACAGTCCCAATCGGTGGTCCCGGGGTTTGTAACCTGGCCAGCCAGGAGGAAGAGGCCACAAAGCCATCCAGCCTTAGGAAGCCTGTTCCAGCTGAGGAACCAAAGAAAAGGCAGGGTAAGAAACCAGATGTGTACAAAATCGGTTGCTTCAGATTCTCCCAGGACCAGTTTTGAATTCTCATCTGATTCTTCCCACCCTGCTCTGGGCCCTCCCGGCTCTTAAACCGAGCTGTCTCACTTTGCAGGCTCATCCAGCAGCCACTCTGGGCCCGAGCTGGAACCACCTCAGGAGCCGTATGTTCCCAGACAGCCTCTGCTTCCTCCAAAAAGACCTCCCTCCACTTCCCAGGAAGCAAACGAAGCGCAGGCGAGGGATCCAACGCCTGCCAGCAGCACTGCAAAAACTGCACCCTCCACCACAGCCCCTGTTGCGGCAAAGACAGTCAATTCCACAGCTGGCCCTTCCCCAGCCCCCAGGACTCTGCCGCCTGCTCTTGCCAGCGCCAACACTACTGCTCCCACGAGTACAACCAGCACAGCTCCTGCCAAACAGCCTCCCGTCCCTCCTCCCAAACCTGTCAACAGAAATAGCAACTCAGTAATAGGTAAGTGCCTTCGTAAGCTGGTGTTTGTACCCTGGGATGTTCTGGAGCCCTTGCTCTGAGAGTCTCTTCCCTTCGTCAGGGAATGTTTTTAGTATGATGTAGCAAATGTTGTATCATGAATGTCTGACCGTCTTTCCTGAATACAGTCCAGTTTGGACTCAGAAGATCTGCCAGTGTTTAGCCAGGGCGCACGTGTGCTGAGAACAACGTAATTACTGGAGACTTCTGCCATGAGCCATCCGATCTGTCAGACGTGCGTGCTCCCAGCAGCTACCTGCAGGAGGGAATCCCTGTCTGCTTTTGGCAGGAGTGGGAGTGGTGCAAGGAGAGGGGAAGGCGTTTCTCTGTCAGCTGTAAGACAGTGTCCTCGGACGTCGATGCTTCGCTGAGGGCTGGGATTCAGCTGTGGACAGCTGGGATTGGTGGATGGTGTATGAGATTTTTTGCTTTGCGAGACTATGGTCAGTGAGAATTGATGCTTTCAGCTGGTCTTTGCAAAAAGCAAAACCAAAAAAATCCACATCACACCAAAAAATGTCTGTTATGGCTGTTGCCGCTGGGCCATGTGGTTTCCACTTAGTGCAGAGAGACCAGGAGCTGGCAGGGGTAATTCAGACTTCCCTGGTTATACTCGGGCACCTTCTCTAAGGTCTGTGGCTAGGGTATTGCCATATTAATCTTGTCCTTAAGTCTTGTCCCATGGATAAATCAGCTCAACTGTAATTTGAGCTGAATCTTCCCACTTACAGAATTAAATGTCTTCATCTCTGTCACTTTTCTAAGCGGAAGATCTGGGGAGACTTTCTTAAAGCTGAATAAGTCCCTGCTCTCTTTAGGAATTTTAGAGGTCTAATTTTAGATGCATCACCGCTGGAGTAAATGAGACAACTTCCATCCAGTCGATGGCCGGCCTGTTCATATTTCACAGACCACCTGCTAATCTTTGGATTGGATTAGCAGAGGCTGGTATAGATCGGGAGGGAGGTTCCTGGGAAGATCAATCAGACAGGTCTGCACTGTTATCACAAAAACTGGAGGCATTACCCACGTGTGGTTTGGGAGGCAGCGGTAGAAGCTTAGACGATGTGCAAGTTACCAGCTGAAGGAGCCTGGGCCACTGCTTTCAGCACGAACTGCATCACTCTGTTCTGCTTGGGGCTTCTCCTTGCTCTAGCAGGTTTTGCAAGCGACCTTGATATGGTGTTAAACACTCCTGTATGCCAGACCAGCTTGATTAGTCTGACCATGCCTGAGCACTCGATGAAATACTTTCTTGTTTTCTTTAAGCTGCTTGCACACATCACAGATGGCATTTGAAATGCCCCAGCGCTAATTGCAGGAGGTACTTGTGGAACAAAAAATGTGGCTGGAGACAGCGGTCTATCAAACATATGTTCAGACCCAGCCTGCCTCTCTCCCCAACAATACAGGGCTGGGCTCGGTGCACCTGCGGCTGCAGGGGTGTGGAGGAGAGGAGAGCAGCCAGCCCCTCTTTTGTCTCCTGGATGAGAATGCAGATGTAGAGAGAGGCTTTGCAGCTCTCTGCAGGGCTGTGCATCCGGCACTACGGAGCTGTAACTGCGGCACACGTGCAGTCATTGCCGCGCGAGCCTTGTTTTGTTGCTGTGGATAAACAGCAGCAGTGGAATTGGCTTCATGAGCTCTCTCCACAGGTCTTTGATGCGTGCTCTGACTCGGGCATATGTGTGCCCCCCTAAGGCAGGGGAGGACTGTTAATGTGCCAATCGCCCCTTTGTTCCCTCGTGAAGATGCTCCCTTATGTTCATTCTCTGAGCAGTTCTGGTGTCTGATGCAGTAGCTGAAAATAAGGCTCAGGAAACACTTTTGGGGAGTGGGAATTTAATCGGCATCAGCTTGAAAAAGCAAGCAGGGCAAACGGTGCTGTCCCGCTGGCCGGGAGCTTGGCGGCAGCCCTGGTGCTTGGTGCCACTGACAGGTTTCAGGAGCCACAGTTACCGTAGCCTGTGCTAGAGCACCGGTTCTGACCACGGTGGCACGTCACAAGAGGTGGTGCCAGTCGTTGCACTGGGTTTATCGCACTGAAGGGAGACGGGCTGGCTCGGGAGGATGCTCTGAGCGGCACCCAGCCCTTTTCTGTCTCCTCTCCCTTCTGCCAGCTACTTGGTCCCTTTCAAAATCTGTCTATGATTGCCCAAAGGTGACTCAAGCCTGGTCCTGCCAGGCTTTGAGCGCTGCTGAGGAGATACTAGAATCCCTCTGGGGTGAAGTTGATGGGAGCTGAGGGCACTCGGTGTTTTGCACAATCTGGCCCTTAATCTACAAGGGGAAAGTCTGAAAATGCTAAACATCCCAAAAATGCGCCCACCTCTCTCCAGTTATGCAGCCTTATCTCGGTGAAACACTCCCTGCTTGCAGCACCCTCTTGTGGTGTCTGGTACTGCGGATTCCTCCCGGCTCCGTGCTGGGGCCACCGCTGTGTGACCATCACCCGCTCCAGGTGAAATGTGCAGTAAATCTGATCCTCTTCAAGCAGGTGGGCAAAATCTTTCCAAGCCCAAGAAGCCGTTGATACGTGAATGTTAAAGGCTGCAAACTCCTAAAGCAAGAGCAGTGTTCGCTGGTGCAGCTTCTTCCCTAGGAGCCAAAGGGCGTTCTAGGAACCTGAGGTTGCCTGCGGCAGGCATTTTCCATCATATGACCCGGTCCCCATTTCTCCCTCTCTCCTCCATCACGCAGCAGACAAACTCTGTGTAGACTCAAGGCTCTTAGCTATTTTTTGGAAGTTTTGCTATTTATTTTGTAGTTTCAGAGAAGCTTATATGGGGCTTCAGGAACAGAGTGCAGGGGGAGTAGAGCAGAACCTCATCCTGAAACAGGCAGGAGCTGCTGGCAGCACGGTGTTCTTGGGCTGGGTCTGGCGGATGATTGGAAAGGGGGAGAGCACATTGCTGCTTGCAGTTCTGACTTTTGCCTTTGAGTGAGACTTCCCAAAAAGTTTTTTAATGTGCGAGGGAGCCATTAACACAACTGGAGTCTGGGGTGTCCTGGATGTCTCGGATTCCTTTGCAAACTGATGCTGTAAATATAGCCATAAAGTGCCCTACATACCTGCCTGCCTTGGCTGAGGCAGCATGCTGATCTGGGTGAGCTCCATCTGCTGTCGCTTGAGGGCTGGTGCTGTTTCTCTCTCTCCCCAAAGCAGCAGGATGCACAGACCTCTCCCAGCCTGCTTGTTTCTGGCAGCTCTCCCAAGCCTTACCTTTGCTGCAGGAAGGACAAACTAGAGGCTTGCAACCTGGTTATTTCTGGCACCGTGTTCTAGCAGAAAAGCAGCAGAGATTGCTTCGTCCGAGGCTCTGAGTGCTTTGCCGTGCTTATTCCACACTGGTGAAGGATATCTGGAAAATGCCCTGTTAAATATAGTGGCTTTTGTGGTTTTTATTTTCAGCTGAACTTTCTCAAGCAATGAACAGTGGTACAGGCTTGTCCAAGCCTTCCCCTCCTCTCCCACCGAAGAGAGGCATCCTGCCTAACAACATGTCAGAGGCAGCTATCACGTCCAAGCCCCCGAATGACAGGACAGTGACAGCTAACCGCCCCGCACTGATACCGATGCACATGACCTCTGCCTACCCGCCACCCTCACCTTCGCCGCCGCTGCCCACGCACATACCCCCTGAGCCTCCGCGCATGCCCTTGCCTGCCTCCACCCCTGTCTTGGACCCTCCGCGCTCCCTGGACCTTCCCAAAGAGACTCTTCCTCCTCCTCCTCCTCCTCCTCCTCCTCCTCCTCCTCCTCCTGAAGAGTTGAGGTCCTTGGAAGTGTCGAAGAGGACGGCAGAGCAAGGGTTTGGCGAAATTCACGTGCTGCCTCGCCTGCCCCAAATCCCATTGCACATCCGTATCCAGCAGGCTCTGGCCAGTCCTTTGCCTGTCACCCCACCTGCCGAGGGGTCGCACAGGGCTCACTCGTTGCTCTTCGAGAACGATGGCTTTGGAGAAGACAACGGCACGCTGGGCAGGACGAGGTCCCTGCCTGTCACCATCGAGATGCTGAAAGTGTGAGTACCTCCTGTACATGTGTGCAGTAAACGCCTAGCAGTGGCGTGGGTCACACTGGGCTCTGGCGTGTTGGTGTCGTACTCCCTGTTTCTGCGAGGCTGTGATGGTGAGGAGGGCTGTGGGCAGGGCTGGTTTCTTTGCTGGTTTTTTGCAACAGCCTAGAAACCGTTTTGCCTGTTGGCTGAATCTGTGTTTCAGCCTCTTAGGGGGCCAGTGCATCTTCCCCGTGAAATTAACCCTGGTTCTGGGATTTTATTGCTCACAAAGGGAAATGGGTTCCAGACTACAAACACAGGCTGATGCCAGGAATCCAGGCCTGGCCTGTCTTTAATTGCACCAAGACAAAACAAGGTCCTGGATTTCATCCATTTGTGGCCTTCCTTAGCCTTTCATTTTGCAAAACAGAAGTGGGAAAAGGACTGTTTTGTATTATAACAGAGTTGAACCTGTAAGGCCCAAAGTAGGGGGGTGAGAGGGCTCTTTGGTTCTGCAAGGAACCTGCCTCTGGCATTTCCTCTGCCAGAGCTCCCTGTGCTTTGGAGAGAGGGGACGGTGCAGGATCGTGGGGCGGCTCTTGCATCTCCGGTTCCTGGGCTACCCACAGACCTGCCTTCTACGGGCTGAGGAGAGCTAACAAGGTGTTGATCTCAGGGGTGTTCCCCAGCCCCTGTGGCATGTGTTAAGAGATGTAATAGTGTGCTTCTCGTTAGTCCAGACGATGAGGAAGAGGAAGAAGATGACCAGGAAGAGGAGCAGAATTCAGGCCCTCGTGTGTATATTGGAGATGTGCCATCTGTCACAGTCATCCCAAAACTGGTACCCCAGGTCCTGCCAGAGGAGCAGGAAGGAGATGAAGGGATGAGCGACTCTGACTCGGAGGGGCCCATCCTGTACAAAGATGACGAGGATGAGGAAGAAGATGAAAGCCATAACAGTAAGGCTTTGACATTGCAGCTGGCTTTTTTTTTTCCTGCTGAACTCATGCCTGGCTGTATTGAGATCTGGATCAAAGAGCTAGTTCACACAGTGCTTCAAAGCAGCTGGTTCTTGGTTTCATGATGTACCGCATGTCCTCTTCCTCACTTTTTCAAAGGCTCTACGGCCAAACCTGTATGCTCATCTGCTGAGATGCACCCCCTCCAGTTGCAGATGGCTCTTGCAACAGCTTGTGCTGTCCCACCCCTTCAGGTGGGATAGCATTAGGTGAGCATGTGGGCGTCAGGCAGAAATGCTGGCTGTTGCTGTAGTGACTAGCTCTGGCTAGCCCTGGAGCCGTAGCGCAGAGCTTGGAAAGCAAGCTCCAGGGGAGAGCACAACTGCCAGGGGCACGTGGCTCATATCGCTGTGCTCAGGCACCGCAGTCTTCAGTCGCATCCCGTTGCTCTTCCTCCCCGCAGGCACGCTGGCTAACAAAGTGAAGAGGAAAGACACGCTAGCTATAAAGCTGGGGAACACAACCACGCCGCAGGAGGAGAAGACTGTCTTCCCTCGGAAGAGCAAGGAGGAGTGGAACGAAATTCGGCACCAGATTGGGACGACGCTGATCAGGTACGAAGAATGGAGGAGGGTGTTACGTTTGAGCTGTTGGCACAGCGTGTGAGGGGTGGGATTGGACAAAGCTGTTGCCTTGTCTAAGCAGCCTGTGCTGGAATATGATGGGTGCTTGGGCACTGCTGCTGCATCAGGGCTGGTAGGCTAAGTGTTGCTTCCCCCCCTAGCCCTGGGTTATAAAAGTTGGAAGTTCCTCCTGGAGTTGAGCAATATCCTCTGACAGGCCCCTGTTTCCAGATGTTAAACGGAATGGGAGGGGAAAATCTCAAGGACTACAGAAATGTTACTGCTGTAAGATACGGGTGGTGTATAAAGACGTAGACAGACGCAGGCTGAGTGCTGATGCATTAGGCGGTGGATTAAGCTGGGGCTGTTGATAGTCCAGGCTCTGCATCTCCTTGAGTTCCCTGCAAAGTTGCCTCTGAGCTTTTGAGAGGCCGTAGCGCTTTCCAAACCTGTGCCCTGTGGGTGAACAGCTGTTTGAGTGGAGGAGAGTGCAAAACAGGGCAGCAGCGGTCTCCACTGGTGAATGAGGGGTGTCGAGGAGGCTTTCCAGTGCACTGAAACCAAGCAGTTGTATTCTTCATCCCCTACTGATGAATGACCAGGTAAAACATGACGCACTTGTCACACTTTCCTTTAGGCGACTGAGTCAGAGACCGACGGCGGAAGAACTGGAGCAGAGGAACATACTTCAACGTCAGTAATGCTTCTCTAGTGGTCCTAAGTAATAAAATATGTTTGCCTTTAACATCTTAGTCCAGGCGTACCTGGAATCTGCTTGAAAGGTAGTGATGGAGGACTGCGCTTTGGTTATATCGCTGTAGTAAAGCAGCTCTGCTGATTTTTCCCAGTACTTTGTTACCATCAAAAACCGGCTCCGGATAAAATCAGACCTTAGCAGTGGTACCAAGCGATACAGTTCAAGGCATCATATTATAGAAAGGTTACCTGTTCCCTGCCTGACACCTCAGGGAAAAGTACGTGAACTGGTTAAGACTCTGGTGTTACACAGCAAGGACTGTTAAAGGTGTTTTTCTTTGGGCTGGACTTTTATTTGCGGTCCAGACATTACAGCATTGTATTGCATGATCCAAAAAGCAGCAGTTCATTGCTCAGTCGGTGGTGTTTCTCTTGGCCATACCTTGCTCTGCAAAAGTTTTAAATAAACATCTCGAGGAAAGGGAAATGTCAGTTCAGGAAGTTTCCATTTAAAATATTTATCTGTGCTGTTACTCTCTTTAAACTATCAGTATAATAGCTTTGGGGAGGAGCAGTCTGCAAAGTGGCTTGGATGTATTTTGACAATATGGCCATTAATCTTTAACGTACCCAGGGCTGGAGAGAATGACTCATTCGTGCTGTGTAAAGGCCCGTATTGCGTCAGGGGGTCAGGGGGGTGCTCGGTGAGTTAAGGGTATTGAGCTGGACTCTGCCTGTAATAAGTGCAGACACGCCACAATGAGCTTTCAGATATGTAGATAATCTGATATAGCTCGATACTCTCCTTTGTTCAAGTCCAGAAAGCACTTTTCAAAGCCTGTGATGCTTATGGGAAAAATGTATTTCTTTTTTTCTCTTGGCAGCGAAAAATGAAGCTGACCGTCAAGCTGAGAAGCGAGAGATCAAACGCAGGCTCACCAGAAAGGTACTGCTGGCCTCCGTGCTGTGATCGCCATCTGGCAGAGCTGTCGGGGATGGTGGTGGCTATGAGCACATCGTAGGTACCTTGCTGTGGGTGAAGTCACGGGGCTATTGTGTAAGTGTCCCCAGTGCCCTCTGACTGCAGTGACTTTGGAACGTGGACTGTCACCAACGGTGAGCCGTTGGCACTGCAGCCACGTTTGTCAGTGATAGATCTGAGCTGGCATCGAGCATAACAAGCTAGATGAGAACTAAATTTGGCACCTGGCACTCGGAAGGTTTGCTGGTGCTGGCCTGACTGTTTTAACACAGTGCTTCGGTGGCCACGACTTTCACCCCAGGCTCCCCAAAATCCATTTCTAAAGTAACAGCAGCGTGGAAGAAGCTGAGCGGAGCAACAGCTCTGTCCGAGTTACTTGTGGTCGTTAACTCATGGCTGGGAAAAACTTCCCAAGGGCCTGTGGGTGTGAAACGTGAGCATTGTTATTGCTGAAGCGGGGAACGGGCTTGCTTGGTTTAGGGGTGTCACGCAGGGCTTACCCCCTTGTAATGGCTGTTCCCAAACCCCTCAGTGTCTTCCTTCTCCTTGGCAATGGGGCCTTGGTTCTGCCCTAGCCTGGCTTCGTGATCCAAACGAGACTACACTGCCTTCTAAGAGTGTTTGCCTGTTCCCTTGCGGGCTGCGAGCAGGACCTAGTAGTATCTGTGGTTCAGGCCCAGTCAGGGAACTGGTTTTAGTTTTGCTCGGGATGCTTAGTCCTGAACTGCTTTTGTGGACAAGGCACAAACTATCTTTGTTCTTGCGGGTGTTCAGCTTAGCCAAAGGCCTACAGTGGCAGAGCTGCAGGCCAGGAAGATCCTGAGGTTTAACGAATACGTGGAAGTAACGGATGCTCAAGACTATGACCGGCGAGCGGATAAGCCATGGACAAAGCTAACACCAGCTGACAAGGTAACAGGGAGTGCCCTGTCCCCAGGCGTGGGGAGGGGAGCTAGAGCGGGATGTCCCATGCAACAGGGCCTGAGCCAGGGAGACTTGCTCTGTTCCTTTTGCTTCACCTCTTCATCCTGCCCTCCGCCACCCCACCGAGCGCCACCAGTGTCCCTTCACCCACGTGTGCTGTACCCAGCCCTGCTTCCTGCCCCCTCCACGGTGACGTGGAGCCCAAGTGGGCATGGTCTGCACGCCAGCGTGGCCTCTGCCTCAGCTTCTGAGTGATGTAAGAGGATGCAAGGTGCGGGGCGTTGGTCAGAGGAGTGCTGTTCCTTGCAGGCTGAGGCAGGCCTAGGCAAGAAGCTGGCAGGGAAGCAATTTGTTCTTGTCTTCCCCGGCCACTTGTGGGGACTGCCCAGCCCTCAGCGTGGAAGAGGTGGGGCAGATTGAACTCAGCCTAGCGCGAATGGACTGCGAAAGCTGGGGTGGCTGCTGCAGTCCGAGTCTCCCGTGGGACTCGGCACTGCGTATCCAAAACTGCTCTTAACTCTTCACCACTGAAAGGTGGTACAGATCAGCCCTGAGCAGGGGTGTCGGAGGTACAGCACCTTCTTGCCGTGTCTGAGCTCACTTGTGAAGGGAGAGAGGGTAGTAGATGTGTGCCTTAGCAGGAGATAAAAAAGATCTCTCCCTCTTTGTGTAGGCTGCCATCCGGAAGGAGCTGAATGAGTTTAAGAGCTGTGAAATGGAAGTCCACGAGGACAGCAAGCAGTTCACGAGGTGAGCGAGAACACGTTGCCAGCTCAGAGTTCCAGTCTTGTTGGGAGAGCTGCGCTGCAGGGGTAGTGCTGAGAGGCAAAACGTTAAAACCTTAGAAAAATGACCTGTGCCACAGTTGCAGATTTAATGTCCCTTTCTGCCTTGGTGGTGGTGGGTGACTGGAGGAGTAGCAGTCATGAAGTGGGTTGTTCTTCCTTAAACTGGGGCTTCGATCCTGGAAACTCAAAGCGACCGGTGGCTGGTCTGAGGTGTATCTGAAACCAGTGCGACCTTGCAGCTGGAGTGTGCTTTTCTGGGGCTAGAGCCACGTGCAGCAGAAGCCACGGCCACAGAACACCTTGGTAGTTAGCTCGGAAATTATCTGTGAAGTAACCTGTGGATCATGGCCCACGTGATTCTTTCCCCCCCCAACAGTTGCTCTGTGTGGCCAAGATGAGTGTTTGCAGAGCACAAGAGCTTTCTAAGGCAGAGGAGAAATCGTTTGATGTTAACAGCTTCACTGAGGGCTGAGAGTCCAGAGACAATTCAGTTTACTCTTTTTGGCCATCTGTAGTGCCTCGTTAACCATTTAACCTGAGTTCCAAGGATGACGCTCAGATTTTTCACTTGGCTTTTAGGTACCATCGACCATAATCTTCCAAGAAGGGAGCAAGAGACCCGAGAGGACTGGAAGTTCTCTGCGTCCCTCTCCTAGGCAATACAGCGAGGGTGGAACCTCGGCTCTTCCAAAATTTGCCTTCAAAACATATCCAGAAAAGGGCTTTCGGCCAGGGAAGGGGAATCCTGTCTGAATGTAGCATTTCACTGGAACAAACACGTCTCAAGTGCCATCGGGCTGGAACTGAACACTATACCTCGCGCGGCTCAGCGATACGACTCTGCTCTGGCGCCAGCATCCCTTGCCAGGAGACCATGCACATGTGAACGAACGGTTCGTTCCCCAGCTCCCTTTCTCAGCCCGGACAGGCCCAGTTCTCAGCTGTACATACTCCTTTTGGGGTGCAACTCCTTCGTTTCCTCCTCCTTACCAAGAGGAAGGGGGAAAAAAAAAAAGGCAGCTCTAGTGTTGGAAAGCTGAGGAATGCAGAGTGGATGTGCTAGGAAGCACGCGTGTATATTACCTGTGTACAGAGAACCCTGTGCAGATGCTGACCTGGCAGACAACTGACATGTGACTCGTAATTTTTTGGTTTTGCTTGCGTCTCTGTCATGTCCTTAATGTCCTGAATCACTACTGACCAACGGTTTGTTGTCCTGGAAGGGAATTGTATAGATATTAACATATGCTGCATCTTTTTGTAAAAAAAAAAAAAACAAAACACAACAAACAAACCACAACAGAAAAACAAAAAACACAAATGTATAAAACATTCCCTCCCTGCTCTCTCACACTTGCTGTGATGTTAACCGATCTTGTCTTGAGAGATCTAGGCTTGTTTAACAAATTACAGAACCAGGAAATGACTGTTGCCTTTTAAAAACTTTTTAATTTGGGGAAGCTGTGAGAGTAGTCAATTCTTTTTATTGTGGCTTCCTCTCAGATGTTTTTTACTCTCCCAAATCAGGGTGAAACTTGCCTTTTCTCATTTTTACAGCTAAACCTACTGGAAACTTGATAATTTCACTGTGTGGGTGGAAGGGAGGGGAAGAAGAGGTTTGAAAAGTGACCTTAAAAAGATACTCTTTCTCTTCTGAGAATGATCTCATATTGGTTCTTCCTGAATGTGGGTGTGGGTTGTTTTTTTTTTTAAATATCTGGTATTGGCCATTGCTGTATCATGCACAAAACCTAACCCATGTGTTGAGATGACACTTAACGTGAAGAAGGGAGTATCGCGGGACGAGGAGGGTGTGGGAATGGAGAGAAGGACTTGCTTTGTTCACAGACCCGTCTCCTTTGTTGCTCGGGGTGGGCCTGGCTGTGCTGCCTGTGCCTCCGTGCTGTGCCAACACCCAGGCCATGGCCCGGCACCCCCGGCTGCCATCGCCCTGGGGCCATGGCCCGGCACCCCCGGCTGCCATCGCCCTGGGGCCATGGCATGGCCCTGCCCCTAGGAGATGGCGGGGGGGCATCTTCTCTCACAGCTTCCCCCTGTACAGTATGCCTGTAGACTAAATCATTGCATTGTATATCAGTCTCCTCATCAACAGATTTTAATTATTGAATAAAAGTATTTTAGGATTTTTTTTTTAAACTGTGTTTGTGGTCGTGTTTTAAATGCCTCAGGCAGGGGAAGAAGGGTTGGGGGGCTCAGAGGATGGCGGTGCGTGGCTCCAGCTGTGGCTAA